CCTGTGGTTCCCTCGCCCTCCAGCCCTGCCTGCCACAGAATGTTGTCGTAGTAGAAGGAGAAGGACATGTCTGTATGGTGCTGAAGGGAGCCCCACCCCACGGGCGCAGTCACGTAGACGTAGTACACATACAGAGGCACCGACACAGTCAGGTAGGTCTGGCCGACACCCTTCACCTGGGGGTCACAGAAAGCTTATCAATGACGACAGGAGCTTGGGCAGTGAACAGTATATAATTAGGAGTTTCATTGTCTTCTTGCAGATAGAATTCGGATATTATTTCATAACAGAGAAACTTCCTTGTTACACATTTGTAACTGGAACGTTGTAAACTTTCGTGCATCTTTTTTTCGAATGATATGTCAAAACACACCACATATGATTCTGAACTAACAAGTGTTAAATAACATAAACAATTTTAACTTACCTGGAAATCAGAGATAACTTTACCGCCGCAGATGTCTACTAAGTCAGTCATGTGATACCACGCACTGAACGACCATACACAGGACTTGAGGTTTAGATGTTTGTATAGACTGATAGTGCGGTTTTCTCTCAGCTGCGAGTCAAACTGGTATGGAAAGTTATAAACTGGTGGGAAAGCTTGTGGGTTGTCTAGGAATCCGGAGTCAACAATCCCCTGTCGCTCCTCTGGTGTGATGAGGTTTGAACACAGATGTTGCTGTCGGTACACAGGCTCGGCTAAAAGATAGCGCAGGTTGTGGAGCGGGAAGGTGGATATGAGTGGGAGGTGGCCATCCTGGTGTGGAATCTGGATGGAGATGTGGATAGTATTGGGATGGTTTGGGTCCTCGGGACCTACGTAGTCCAGATTGGCCAAGAAAGACTGGGCACCATAACTGTTGTGAGGAGAACCATGGAACACAGGGGCCTTACAAATCCCCTCCTCATGGCTGATGGTTACCGCTTCACTCTTGGAAGAAATTCCTGGATTTCCGTTGGCATGTCGAGGTTGTGCAATACACCTGACTCGAAATGTTGGACGAAAGTAAATGCTGTCAAGCACGATCTTATTGACACTTGTAAATAGTGTGGCATCAGTTACCATGACAAAAGGAGGTTTGGATCCTAATTGGTCATTAGCGGGCATAGCAACCTCCCAGGTATACAAGATGGCTGACTGGTTGATGTTCGAATCCTGACACAAAGAATGTGTGATGGTGTAGGTTGGATAGTGGATATCACAGGCCTATTAAAAATACATAGAAAAAGTTGAATGGTATATACAGGGTAACAATGGTGTATGTTGTATTGTATATAC